TCTTTCTTATGTGTTAATTGTAATTTTTCAAAATCTTTACGTAAGATAGCTTCACGTTGTTTTATTTGTTCTTTTTCAACAAGGTCATTTTCGATTTGACGAAGATAATCCATAACTTGTTGTTTTTCTTGTAACATTCGACGTTGTGTTGTCGATAATTGAGAACGAACGTGAATATTATCAGAACGAAGCATTTCAATTGTTGAACCTAAAAATATGATATTAGAGATTTATCTGTCATTATCTATGGTATTGTATTTAAAAAATTGCTAGTTTCTGTAACCTTAAATATTTTCCTGTATAAAATTACCTTGTTCAGCAATTTGTACATTTGCTTGTTGTAATAATTTTTCTAAATCATGTTTATTTGTTCGTACATCTTTAATATCATCATTTAAACGTAGTCTTTCTGAATCCATTATTTTAAAATCACTTTCTAAATTCATCATAGAAACTTCTAAACGACGTTTAACAAGTATATGATTTTGTATATCAACAGTTAATTCAGCTATTTTTTGTTTTAATTCATCAATAACACCAGTATGTGATTTAGCATCACAACGTAAAACTGATATTTTTCTTGTTAAATTTGTATTTTTTTCTTTAATATTTTCATATTCTTTTTGTAATTGTTCAAGAACAAGATTTTTTTCTTCTAAGGATTTTTGTAATAAATCAAATTTTGTTTGATCTGTATTAAATTGTGTTAGATTTACACGTTTATGTTCACTTAAATTATTATTTATGGCTTCAATTTGCTTTTGATATTCAGAACGTTCTTGTAAAAGTACACGGATTTCTGTACGCAATGAATTAATATAATCTTGAAATAAATTACGTTCTTTATCCCATTCAAGAAATATCATTTCATCAGATGTACCACTATATGTTGTACCATGTTCAGATTGATTATCTAAAGCTTGTTTACTTACACTACGATGTAATGAGGCAATTAAATCTGTTTCTGATGATGTTATAGTACGATTTAATGCATTAACAGGTTGTCGAATTGCTATACCGGGCATAGAAGTTTGTTTAGTATGAAATGTTTCAAATACTTCTCGATCTTCTAATGTAGGTGATTCAATAGAAGTTATTGGTATAAAATGATTATCGGCTGTTGATGATGAACTTGATGCTGGTACAATTGATTCTGGTATAGATGTAATAAATGTTGAAGAAAATGGAAGAAGATTGGCTTGATTTAATTGATCATTAAAATGAACTGAATGTGTCATTGCTGATATATCAATATTATTATTTGATCCATTGAATGGATTTGTTGTTAATCGTGAACATAGTGATGATGTTGGTGATGAATATGTTCGTCCATTTTTCATTTGTCTAACACGATCAAGTTCTTTTTGTATATCAGCAAGTGATGTTGAATGTAAGTTACTAGCCTTGATATCATCTGCATTCATATTTGATAGATTTTGATTTGTATTCGTAGTTAGTTGCTGTAATGTTAATGCATCAAGTTGATGTAAATTATTTTCAGGTAGAAGAGAAGTTTGGTCTAATATTAGGGATGGTGGGGCTGATGCGGGTGGGTCATGATTAGTGTGCTGTTGTTGTTGTTGTTGTTGTTGCTGTTGCTGATGTTGTTGTTGCTGTTGTTGACTAGACATAGTTGTTGATGAAATTTCCCCTAATGAGTGTGAATGTTTGGCAGATGTTAGTTGTTGTTGCTCAGTTTTTTTAAAATCTGTGGAATAATGAACGAGAGAGTCGTTTAGAAAAGTATTTAGTTGATCACTATTCGCGGGCTGATTGAATTCATCGTCATCAGCAGAAAATGTTACTCTTTCCGGTTTTAACATTGAGCAAACGAATATTGTCTAATGATGTTAAAAATGCCTCAACTATAACAAGATTGATGAGACACATTCAGGAAGGAAAAGAAAATAGACGGCGCGTATAGGTAAGGATACAAGGACAACTGGAGTGTATCTAGAACCAACCACAGAATGAAAGTACAACGGTCTAGAAAAATAATTATATATTAATTTAATATTGGAAAGTAAATTGAGAGGGAAAAACATAATAAATAACTCAATCAAGCAGAACTTAACATTTCTCTATGATTTTCTGTGCTCTTGATGAAAATTCGTCGACGCGCTTTTTCGTTCGTTTCTACAATCACCATTTGTACACGCGTCGCAGTCAGAACTTTTCTGATTGGTTAATAACAACCATTTCTACATCATAGAGGTCTCAATTCAAAATAACAAATAAAAATCGAAAAATCGAAAAATTATTTTTACTTTCTAAAATTAATCCTAAAAGCTTTTTAAAAAAATTTTGCAGAATGTTTTTGTAATAAAAGATGATGACACGTTTAATATTTTTCTTTCCATTGCATCAGATGTGTAGTTCTTTCTTTTCATCATTTATTTATTAAATACCCTATTAGATATATATTACATTTATTCATTCATATTTTAGCATTATCAAAAGAATGGCAACCAACTCAGATTCAACGACAAGTTTAACATCAGCTATTGCAAATAGCCTGAAAGTTACTGATAACGATCTTTCTGATTTGATTAAAATACAAGGTGATCTTGTACGAAAACTTAAAACTGAAAAAGCTCCAATTGAACAAGTTTGTTGTTTAATTATTAATTAGCATGATATACATATAAACATTTATATAAATTGTTTTGATAGGTAAAAGAAGCTGTTGACAAATTACTCAGTTTAAAAAAAGAACTTGCTGATCACCAAGCAGCCAACGGTGGAGAGGAAGAAGCAAGCAGTGGTTCAAACCTTCTCAAAACACCTCGAGTAAACTAAATTTTCCCTCTATTAAAACTAAATAAATTATCAAACGAATATTTCTTTCATTTAGGGTACACGTGATTATCATCCTGCTCAAATGAAAATTCGTGAACAAGTTTTTAAAACAATTACTGATTGCTTTAAGCAACACGGAGCAGAAACAATTGATACACCAGTTATCGAACTTACGGTATGAAAATATTTTTGTTATTTACCTCGTCTCAATTAATTTATTATTATTGTTTTTAGCAACTTCTGACAGAAAAATATGGTGAAGATTCTAAACTTATTTATGAATTAAAAGATCAAGGTGGTGCAGAACAATTAGCTTTACGTTATGATTTAACTGTACCATTTGCACGTTATGTCGCACAAAATAAAATTTCGAGTATGAAACGATATCACATAGGAAAAGTTTATCGACGTGATAATCCAAAAATGACACGAGGCCGCTATCGAGAATTTTATCAATGTGATTTTGATATTGCCGGTGATTTTGATGCTATGGTACCGGATGCAGAATGTATTAAAATTATTATAGAAATTCTTGATAAACTTGATTTGGGATCATATAAAGTTTATGTAAGTATTCAGGTTATGATAAATAATTCATATTGCTCGAATTATATACTTTTTACCGGGACGAATACACTTATCGACCCCTTTCTCCTTTTTTTTATGATCCAGGCCGACTAATTAGCTACTGGGGAGTTCATTAAAAGTATTCCCAAGAGTATCAGACCAATAATTTACGACATATATGAAAATTTAGACTTAAGTTTAACACTGTATAAAAGGTTTATTTTTGAAATAAAATATAATGAAAGCAGGCCCGTAGCCAGG